TGTCTTCAATGGCTCACTGATAGCCTGTGTCGCAGGGTAGGTGTGATAGCTCAAGGCCATCGAAAATCCAGCATGTACTCGGTCAAGTGGATCCTCTGTGTCCAAAACCATTTGTCCTGGAATGATGATGTGCTGTAGGATCACGTAGTTCTTGGTCAGGTTGTAGTTCATGTAGAGGTTTGTGATGTGGCCTGTCACCTTGTAGAACAAACCCGATGCTTGTTCAATTGTTGACAAAGTCCATGCACACCCGTAACTGCAACACTTGTCCAATGTAACCCTTTTTGAACACTGTAATCTTCTTCTCGCACACCTTCTGAAACAGCTCATCTGTCTGTTGCTTGACCTTGCACACAAAGAATGTGCTCATGTTGGCCGTGCTGTCCAAACCCTCATGTATCAACCAACTGATGTAGCCGAGGCAATCCATGAGACTGTACAGCATCCCAATGAAACCCAATGTAGGGGGCCTCATGCAACCAGGGATCTTCTGTACCACATGTGGCTGATTTGTAAGAGTGGTTGTCATGAACATGTACTGCTCCACTGTAAGCGGAATCATAACCGTTGTGTAGTTGTAAGGGTCATCCGGTGGTTACCACCAACCGGTTCCAGTGTAAACCCCTCGGGCACTGCCATCTGCATGCGCAGGGTCTTGGAGGCTCTGAGCCACCGATGTAGGCTGAATGCCTAAAGGCGCGCTGTAAACCGCAAATGTAAATGGCGTGAAACGCACGAGTGTGCGAACTGTGCAACTGCTATTTTACTGTGCACACTTTGTGAAACTGGTTGCGGTGTGGCCTCACAGGCCAACGTTGTACATGTGTTTGTTGAGGATGTGACAGCTGACAAACTTTGTCAGTAAGTCTGCTGGGTTGCCCTCTGATCTTACTTAGTGCATGGTAATGATTATGCTCTTGACAAGTTGTTGTATGAAGAGGTGTCGCAGCTCGATGTGCTTTGCTTTTTTTGATGTACCTTCTCTCATTGCGATTGATTTTGCTGCGCTGCTGTCTGTGTGCATCCTGATGCTGATGCGTGCTTCAATTGCTTCTTCGATGAAGTTGCTGATGTAGAGGCTTTCCTGTGCTGCTGTGCCAATTGCGCACAGCTCTGACTCTGCTGATGAAAGTGCTAGCGTTGCTTGTGTCCTGCTGCCATAGCGTACTGCTGCTCCAAAGAAGTATAACACAAATCCTGTTGTGCTCTTTCCGCATGATTCCCAGTTGGCATCAGTGTATGTGTCAATGTTGAGTGGGATTAGTTTGCCCTGTGTTTGTATCTTTGGTCGCAAGTTGTGTCGCATGCACCTTGTGCCTTGAAGGTACCTGATCATGTGCTTGAGATTCTTGTAGTCATGTAGTGACCTTGCTAGTTCCTTTGCTCCATAGCTGATGTCTGGTCGCGTGTATGCTAGCCATTGTTTCTTGCCAACGTTGCTCGTGATCAAGTGGTGCTTCATCTTCTGTTGTAGCCTTCCTTTTGTGTTCTGCTAAACAAGGTGTCGATGATGCTTTGTACTCCTACGAGTAGGAGATCGTCTACATAGATCATGATGTAGACTAGGCAGTCCTTCTTCATTGTAGAACTCGTGTGGCGGTCGCATTACCAAGTTGTATGAGTTTGCTGCTGCATGTAGAAATGCAACACTTACATCTACCGACATCTACCGACCAGTTGTAAGCCAGTCATTGTGAGAAGCACACTCAGTGTGCAAAACAGTGGTGTACTTGCGGAGAGTAGGTCGTGGTCTGTAACGGGTTCTGTGTAGCCTTTTGCTACTATGCGTGCTCGTACTTCGTTGTGTTTTTGTTTGAGAACCCATCTTAATTCGATGATGTTTTCTTTTTGTTTTGGTGTCATTGTGTTGCCATCAATCTCTGTGAAGACTGATTGGTCTTTGATTTGTTGTACTTCTTCTTCATGCCTTGCGCTGTTGTGGATCCGAGCCTTCTGTATCATGTATGATCGGCTCTAGTAGGATCCTCTCGTTCTTGGTTTCTTGTATGTCCTCATTTGATGTGGTCTCCATTTGTTTACCATCCTTAGTTGTAAACTTGATGGCATTGATTCTCATCTTTCCTTTTGGTTGTTCGGTTGTTGTAGGCCGCTCGAGTGATTGTCTCTCTGCTGTGGTTCGCTGTTGCTTGCCTGTGCTGCCTTCTGCTACTGTGTCATGTATTTCTCTGGTGAGTGATGTAGGCGGTGGGTTGGTGATGTAGCCATTGGCGATGTTGGCTCTGCTGTCTTCTTCTGCCGTGTCTGCTGATCAGTTGCTTGTGATGCGCTCTGTTTCTTGCCTTGTGCTGCTGCGCTTGTTGTCGCATCCTTCTGTGATGGTGGTGCTTTACTTGTAGCTGGCATTGTCAGTTGTGTTGTGAGAGTCGGTGTAGGCAGTGCTGATGCTGGTGTCTTCCAGGGACCTGTGTTCACACAGTCAAGTTGCTGTTGGTTGTATTTGCGAGGCCTTATCCTGCCTTCTGATTGTCCTTGCTCTGACAATCCTGTTGTAGATCCCCAAAGGAGGGACTCACCTGCGGTTGTATCCTTGCCAAGCCAGATTCCATTGTAGAATCTTGGCTCGGGTTTTGGAATCTGTTCCACTGTTGGTAGCATGTATTCACTGTCTCACGAAACTCACAAAGTGGTGTGTGTGTTGCTCTCTGTTCCATCTGTTGAAGTAGCTTGTGCATCCATTGCTGTGGACTGCACACCTGTTCATGATGCGCGCGCTGCGCCGAACAGTCCAAGGCATGAGTGGATGTTTCATTGGAATGTCTCTGTTGTAGTTCTGCCTGATTTGTGCCTTGAGTGTTCTGATTTGCGCAAACAGTTTTCTCTACTCCTCCTTGTGATTGTGAACTGTATGCTCCTGTGTTCCTTGTGGTGATGTTGCTATTCCTGTTGGCCACTGCTGTGGTAAGCGCTGTCAGGAAGTCTTCCTGATCTGATTGTAGTATAGTGCGTGTTGTTCTTCCACATTCAATGAGGAAGCGCTGTAGCTGTGTGACTGCGTAGTCGAAGAGCGCCCTCTTGTCAGTCGGTTGTATTGCCATGATCATCCCAGATTCGATGTTAATTGCAATGAGAATCGGATGTACGTTGCTGTCGTCAAAGCCTTTGATGTAGCCGAAGTCAAGCTGTGTGATTGGAAGCTTGCTGTGCTGCTGTGGGTGACTGTTCTGTTTGCCTCTTGCTTGCACGCATATTGGACACCAACTCCTGTAAGGGAGGTGTGTCACGTTGTGCTCGAGTATCTCCTGTTGTGTTGGTTGCTTGGGTGCTTCTACTGCTTTCGCTTTTGTTCCTTCTACTAAAGCCACAGCTGGATGAACAGAAGTTCGAAGAGAGCTTCGCGACATGGGAGTTCCAACTCTCCAAGTATGAACAAGACAACAACACACTACTACCAGACGCAGTCAAGATTGTAATACTGCTCAATGAAACAAAAAAACCACTACAACAACACCTACAGCTCCAAGCAGGAGACATCACAACATATGCACAGATCAGATCAATGGTGAGCGAGCACTACAGAGCGACAGCGTCATTCACCAGGCTAGTAGGCAACAACAACCAAGGACCAGCGCCGATGGAGGCGTGTAATCTTGAGTAACTTGAGTTTAGGCCTAGGTTGAAAAAGATTGAAAGGGATTGAAACTTAAATCTAGGCGTCGGCCCAAGATTCAAGATGCCCTGAAAGAGTTTGGCTTGTGATGTTGAATCTGGGCCTAGATTTAACAAGGTTGATGGAGATTGAAATTTGAATCTGGGCGTGGGCCTTGGAAGAGTTTGGCTTGGAAGCTTGCGTCTTCAAATCTGGGCCTAGCTGTAAACTGATTACAGGGGGTTGAAATTTAAATCTGGGCGTGGAACTGGAAAGTTTGGCCTGGAATTTTGCATTGTGAGTCTGGGCCTAGTTGAAAAAGATTCGCCCCTGGGGGGGAGGGGGTATCTCCTTGTGAGCAAATCCCCAAGAGGCCCTATTCCTGCACAGATCCTCCCATAAAGATTTTGCTTTGTAGAGAGGACCCTCTCAAGAAGTCTCACAAAAACCTTTAAAGAACTCTGCGCGCAAATCTTGCCAAGAGATCCAAGAGATGCTGCCCAGAGATCGTGGGAACAGATCTTGCCAAGAGTTCGTCCAAGAGATCTTGCGCAAAGCAAAGAACACCTTGCGCTGGTCCTTCAAGAGCTCCTGTCAACGAGACCCTACCCAGACGACCCTGCAAAGATCCTCCTGCAAAGATCTTAAGACGGCGGAGGTCTCACGCGATCCTGCAAAAATCCTTGCTTGATCCGGTATAGAGACCCACTCAACAGATCTTGCGCAGGACTTGCCAAGGTTGCATGCCGAGACGTCTGGTAGAGGACACAACAGATCTTGAAGAGAGAGCTTTCGCAGATCTTGCCAAGAGATCATCGACAGACCCCGCTGACAGACCCTGTAAAGATCCTTCCGCAGAGATTGCGCAGGAAGTTTTGCAGACACAGTAGTCAAGTGTTTGCTAGGCACGTTTTGCCCCTTTCGGCAGAACATCTTCTATAGGAGCTTCTGAAGGCTTCTGTTTGAAGAGAGCGCGCGCGAGACCTTCTATAGAGACCTTGCGTGCGTCGGCTGCGGCTACTCTCATGAAACTTGCGTGGGCCTATCTCACGTTTTGACCGCTGTTCGCGGCCTCTTGCCGGTGTAGTTTGGTCTTGTTTCCTCAAGGATTTTTCAGTCCTTACAAAGCTTAAGAACACAGAAAAAACGCAAAGCGCGAGACACAAGCTCGTGGCCCCAACTCAGACGTCTGCCCCAGGGGAGCGTACCCAAAAACAAACAAAACAAAAAAGGTCCTGGCCCCAACTCAGACACTTGCCTCAGGGCTGTGTTTTTGTTTTTTTGTTTTTGTGAAGGTTCCTCTCCCCAGTCCTACATATTGGTTTCTTGCAAAAACGCAGGGCCGGGGACACTGGTTTCTGGTTCGCCGGTTATCCGTGAAATTTGGCCATAGGAGGATTCGCGGCGCTCCGACGAAGAGGCCGATGCCATGGAGGCTATCGGGGACGGCGACGAGGAGAGAAGCAAAACGATGGAACATATGAAACAAAGCTGACGAACAAAAATTGAAAATATAACAGAGTTCTACTTGACAAAGAGAAAAGAGACAGCGCTTGAGGAGTATGAAAAGTACGAGGTGAAAGCGAACCCCTTCCTGCTGGGCGCAACTCTGGTGGAGGCGGGACAGCAACACGAAACACGAAAGCGCGAGCCCGTCGAGCCAAGGACAGCGTGTCGAGTTTGGAGTTTCGAGCTTCGAGTCGGGTCGGTCGAGTCAGGTGCCTGTGGTCGCCTCCGAGGGTGGAGCCGAAGCTGAGCAAGCTGCCGCAGTGCCTCGAAAAGAGGGACACAGAGCAGAGTAGAGAAGAGGCAAACGGAGAGCTAAGACGTAAGACGTACGAGCCAGTGAGAGGTAAGGAGCTTAAGAAGCTAAAGAGCTAAGCTACGGGCGCAAGGCAAGCGGATGAGATTTCCTGTCTATCGACCCGGCAAAGGCCGCCTTGCGACACCTGCCAGCCGGACTGCTGAACACAGGGCAGGGACCCTCAGTCCTCAGTTTTCTCCTCAGTCAAATTCTCCTCCCCCGTTTTGCTAGGTACTACGCTCGTTTCTTCCAGGAAACGCGGCTGCTAGGCTCTGGCAGGCCAGAGGACGCAAGCGGATTTGGCGAGTTGGCAAGTCGACCTTGACACGCCAGTTTCGGAGCTGTGTATCTATGCCGTCACGTTTTAGACGACATGATGTTGGGCGACTATGCGGTGAAAAAAGCCCGGCGCTCAGAGGAACAGGGCCAGACAGGGTCTCCAAGCTCCAACATCAGGTCCCTGTGGGAGACAACAAGGCGCGCGCATGCCCCACTGCGCAGCATGGACTGCAAAGAGTGCCGCAAGAGAGACAGAGAGAGAGAGAGCGAGAGAGAGTGAGTGAGTGAGTGAGTGAGTGAGTGAGTGAGTGAGTGAGTGAGTGAGTGAGTGAGTGAGTGAGTGAGTGAGTGAGTGCGTGATTGAGGGCGTGAGAGAGTGAGAGGGGGAGAGAGAGAGAGAGAGGGGGCGGCGTGGGAAGAGGGAGAGTGGGAGAGGGAGAGAGAGGGAGAGAGGGAGAGAGAGTGACACAGAAAGATAAATAAGAGAGACAGAGAGGGAGAGAAAGGTGAGAGAGGAAGAAAGAAAGACAGAAAGGAAAGAAAGAAAGCAAGAAAGAAAGCAAGACAGAAAGGAAAGAAAGAAAGCAAGAAAGAAAGCAAGAAAGAAAGCAAGAAAGAAAGCAAGAAAGAAAGAGAGAAAGAAAGAGAGAAAGAAAACAGCAGAAAGAAGAGAAACTGAGAAAGAGAAAGAAGAGAAACTGAGAAAGAGAAAGAAAGAGGGAAGGAGAAAGAGAGAAAGGCAGAGGAGGAGGAGGCAGAGAAATAGGCAGAGAGAAGGAGAAAGAGAGAGAGAGAGAGAGGCAGAGAGAGCAAGAGAACAGGAGAAGAAGAAAGAGAAAGGAAACAAAGCAAGAGAACTATAGTTCCTACGTTCTCTAGAAACTTGCGACCACCGGCTTCGCCACTGTTGAGTACTATCACGATGTCCACTCTATCTGGTAGGGATGCACGGTTGGCTTTCTCGTAGCGACTGACGTCGTATTCCCACTGTAGAAATCGGTCTTCGCTCTGCCTCGTTGAATGTTGGTTCCGCAGTTCAAAGTAGCCAGCGCTTCGTGTTTCTGCGAGTGGGCCAAACCTCCTGCTGCGCAGTCGTAGTGATTCACAGCCATTGGCGTTGTAGCGGTTGTGCTGCGCGACTGTAGTTCACTGGTCCGATCTCTCGCTGCTTTTATTGCTTGTGTAGAGTCACGCACGTGGGCTCTGATGTCTGAGGCCTCAATCTATCGTGTAGCCGCTTGAGCTAGCTGTAGTAACATGGCGCCGGCGGAGCCGGTGGTCGCAAGTCTCTAGAAAATGTAGCTTTGGCTTTCTCTCCTTTTTGTGGGGTCTTTCTTCTGCTCTTTCTTTCTCTCTTTCTCGTCTCATTCTTTGGTTTCGCTCGCTCGGTCTCTCTTTCACTTTCTCTCTTGTTGTTGTTTCTTTGTGTCTGTCTCTGTTTTTCTCTTCCTCTTTCATCTCTTTCTTTCTCTTTCTTCTTTATCTTTCTTTGTCAGGCTTTTTTTTTTTGTCTTGATTGTTTTCTTTGTCGAGTTCTCTTTCCCTTTCTCTTTCTTTTTCTCCTGCCATGTTTTCCTCTTTCTGTTTCCCTTTCTCTTTCTCCTTCTCTTTCTCTTTATCTTTCTCTTTCTTTCTCTCCCTTCCTTGTTTTTCTTTCTCTCTGTTTTCTCAGGTTCTCTTTTGTTTGTTCTTTTTTGTCTCTCTCTCCCTTTCTTTCTTTCTTTCTTTATTTATTTCTTTCTTTATTTCTTTCTTTCTTTGTTTCATTCTTTCCTGTTTTCTTTGTTTCTTTGTTTCTTTGTTTCTTTATTTCTTTCTTTCTTTCTTTGTTTCATTCTTTCCTGTTTTCTTTGTTTATTTGTTTCTTTCTTTCTTTCTTTCTTTCTTATTTCTCTCTTTCTCCTTTTCTATGTATATTTCTTTCTTTTTCTCTCTTTCTTGCTTTCTTTATTTGTTCTTTCTTCTTTAGTTCTTTATTTTTTCCTTTTTCTGTCATTCCTTCTTTCTTTTTTTACTTTTGTATTTTGTTGTCCTATTTTTCTTGTTTTTGTCTTTTTATCTTTCCGTCCTTCTTTCTCTGTTTTTCTTTTGCGCTCTTGCTTTTTCTTTCTTTCTTTCTCTCTGTCTCTCTCTTTACTTTTTTGTTTTCTTTCTTTCTCCCTTTGTTTTTTTCGTCTTTCTCTTTCTCTCTCTTTCTCTCTTTCTGTATTTTTCTCTTTCTCTTTCTCTTTTTCTGTCTTTCTCTTTTTCTTTCCTTCTCTCTTTCTCTCTTTCCCTCTTTCTATCTTTCTCTTGCACTTTTTGCTCTCTTTCCTTTTCTCGCTTGCGAAAGCGCTGCGCCTGCCACGAAATCTGTACGTCACCTTGTGAAAGTGCTGCGCTTGCCACGAAATCTGCGCATGACCTTGCGGAAGCGATGCGTTTGCCTAGAAATCTGTACCTATAACCGTGCAAAAGTGCTGCGCCTGTCACGCAGTATGCGCCCCATCTTGTGAAAGTGCTGCGCCTGCCACGCAATCTGTACCCGACCTTGCGAAAGTGCCACGCTTGCCACGCAAATGAAACCTTGCGAGCCCGAGTGTTGCCTTGCTACCGGGCACGGCGCCGGGCCCGCGCCAGACAGGCGTCGAGACAGCGGTGGTTGACATCGCCGCAGCAAAAACCCGCAGAGGGCCCGCAGCACGCCCACGCTGCGCGTGCTTTCTTTTTGCACGCGCTATCTGGTCTTCTAAATCTGTCTATCTGCGCAAGCTACCTTTCAAGTAGTGTCACTACTACAGGAGTTCCTTCTCAGTTTCGTTTGGCTAGACGAAGTTCGGTGAAATTGCGAGCAGTCGCTTCATTAATGGTGGCAGTTTGCGTCGGTGTTACCTTTGGACGTGGCTGTCTTGTTCTTGAGTTGCTCCTGTAGTCGTTGCTCCCTACTGCTGAGCTGATGCCGATGCTCGTTTTCCTGGCATGCGGTGACCTTGCTGTTGCACTTGCCGTCGTGCGCTGGAGCCCCCCCGCGTGTAGGGTCACAGCTCCGCCGCCGCGTTGCATTCAAGCTGACAAAGACGACAAGCGCAGGTGCTGTTGTGTGTTTCAGCCAATCAAACCTGTATTCTGCTGCGCGCCTATTTTCCAGAATGTCCGCGTGTAGTATTGAAGTTCAAGGCTTGCAGTGTGCAACACGGGTTGCTGTATCTTGTCATCTTTCTCTCTTGTCTCTTCTGGTGTAATCTTGTTTTCTTGTCTTCCTTGTCAGTCTCTCTACGCATGCGTTGCAGGAGGTTGTCAGGGCAAACATGCGAACCGGAGACTCGCGGCCAAAACCCGTGACAGAGCTTCAGCACAGAGACAGACGGGTCCCTGCCCAACATTACGGTCCACACAGTTCAGTCGCCCGTTCACCCATCTGGCTCCATCCCGCGTTCCGCGCACCGCGATGCCAGCGTGGGATGCGCAGGTGTGGCTGCGCGACATGGTGCGAGAGGCAAGAGTCAATGTGCGCATTCACGGTTTCCCGTGTCCATGCGCCTAAGCTTCCCTGACGCAGCCTTGAGGGCTAGGCGTGGAGCAAAGTGATGGCGCGCCCCAAGCGCAAGACTCGTAAGGAGCGGGAGCATTGCAAGCACATTGCGCCAACACGTAGAGGGGGCAATGGCCAAGAGGAAGCGAGACAACGTTCCAGCTACTTGGTGCCATTTGGCGGTGCGTTGCTGTGAAGATGGTGTCTTTTTGCGGGGGTGAGGGCTTGCGGTCGTGTCGTTCGATGCGTCGAGTCGAAAGGCCCGCTGGTCTTCAAGTTGGAGGTCCGGCGAGCTGGCACGATGACGCCGGTGGGTGGTCTTCATGCCTCGGCCCGGCGTATGAGGCGCTCAGGGCACTAAGTTGGGTTGTATGGGTCGCCCTCAAGGCCGCACACTTAAGGTGAGCTTGTTTGGCATTTGCCTCAGACACTGAATTTGCTGTGCTCATGCTGCGCCCTTCTTGTGAGTCACGCAGGCCGAATCATGCTTGCAACTTTTACGCACAAGCGTAGCGCGCGAAGAGAGCTTTGACAGCTCCGGCTTGAAAGTCGCAAGTTTTACGCACAAGCGCAGCGCGCCGAGGCGCCGACAAGACCAAAAACGACTGCAGGATGAAGACGTCGCTTTGGGTTCAGTCTCAAGTTGCTGGAATAAAAAGTTGACCTGCCTCGGGCAAAAAAGGATTTCAAGCGACGCGTGGGAGTTACAACTCTTTTTAAACTTGAAACATCCAGCTGCGCCATCGCCTCGAGCCCGAAGGGCAAGCGCAACTGGCTGACGTGTTGCGTCGAAGATCAAGCTCCCTCCTCAGCAGCCCTGGCGACAAATTTCAGATATAGTTTGCGGAGATTTCTGATAGAGATTTCCATCTCTAACATAGATGGTTTTCCGATTCTCTCGGCCCCGCCACAGCTTCAAAAGTCATCAGCGGTGCAGCGCGCACAATTTTGGAAGATGCCAGCGTCCCCAGCTTGCCCAGCAGTCGCCGCACGCAGAAAACATTGCGCGCGCCGTGTTCCCGAAAGCATCGCGAAGGGTTCTTCCGTGCGGAGCCCTTGGACAAGTTACATAGAGCCAAGTTACATGGAGCCAAGTTGCACAGAGCCAAGTTGCACAGAGCCAAGTTGCACAGAGCCAAGTTGCAAAGTTGCACAGAGCCAAGTTGCACAGAGTCAAGTTGCACAGAGCCAAGTTGCACAGAGCCAAGTTGCACAGAGCCAAGTTGCACAGAGCCAATTTGCACAGAGCCAAGTTACATAGAGCCAAGTTACACAGAGCCAATTTGCGCAGAGCCAAGTTGCACAGAGCCGAGTGGCACAGAGCCAAGTGGCACAGAGCCAAGTGGCACAGAGCCAAGTGGCACAGAGCCAAGTGGCACAGAGCCAAGTCGTAGAGCTTTGGCGCAAGCAGCTATGTAAGTTAGTTTAGGTTTCTAAGGCGCCGGGGTGGGAGTTTGATCATCGCTCGCGATTGCGACCCTCTGCGGAGATCCGCGTGGTCGAGGTTAAAAAACTGATGACTTTTTACGATTTCTGGAAGCCGCGCGCGACCCTCTGCGGAGATCCGCGTGGTCGAGGTTAAAAAACTGCGCGCGCGACCCTCTAACTGAGGACTTTTTACCCTCTGCGGAGAACGTGCGTGTCGAAGCGCTCTCACTGTGGCGCCTGGCGAGTTCTTCTTAGTCTCGGCGAACCCTCTGCGGAGATCGTGCGTGTCGAAGCGCTCTCGCTGTGGCGCCGTGCGATTTTGTTGCTCGCAAAATGGCCTTTGGAAGTTGTGCGCCTGCTTTCGCAATCCCGCGGTCGCGGGTTCGATTCCCCCCTGGTCCGCGGCAGCTCCGGCTTGAAATCGCAGCTTTTAAGTACAAACGTAGTACGCGGAGCGTGCTCCTGCAGCTCCGGCTGGAAAATCGCAACTTTTAAGTACAAACGTAGACGCTACTTGCTCAGAGCACTTGCGCGCAGCAGCTTGCAGAGAGCAACTTGCGCGCAGCAGCCTGGAACAATGCAGCTTGCGCAGACCACTTTCGTGAGAAATCGCGCGGCGCAGTTCGTGCAAAGCACATTGCGCCGAGCAGACTCGTGCAGAGCCAACTTGCACAGAGCCAGTTGCGCAGAGCCACTCGCGAAAAGTAGCTTGCGTAGAGCCAACTTTCACAGAGCCAAGCTGCGCAGAGCCATCTTGCACAGAGCTAAGTTGCGCGAGCGTGCTTTGCAGAAACTGTGGCCGTCGTGCAGCGCAGTTCGTGCAAAGCACATTGCGCCGAGCAGACTCGTGCAGAGCCAACTTGCACAGAGCCAGTTGCGCAGAGCCAACCGCGAAAAGTAGCTTGCGTAGAGCCAACTTTCACAGAGCCAAGCTGCGCAGAGCCATCTTGCACAGAGCTAAGTTGCGCGAGCGTGCTTTGCAGAAACTGTGGCCGTCGTGCAGCGCAGCTCGCGCAAAGCGCATTGCGCTGAGCAGACTCGCGTAGAACGATGAGATGGAGCTCTCATGTGACCAATTGAGCATCGCCGCGTGCAGACACGCTCGCCGCAGCGATGTAAAAAGGTGTCTCCGCGGCTGGATGAGCACCTGGGGAAATATGCTTTCGGGCCAATCGTCCTCTAGTTTTTTGTTGTTTTTCCTTGAGGGGTTGAGGGGGGTGCCAGACGCGCCGCGAGGCGCGTGAGTGGGCGGCTGGGTTGGCGGCAGAGGGGGGGTAGACAAAAACACGCAAGGGGGGCGAAATAGAGACCCACTGGCAGCTGGATGCTGGATTGACCGTGCGTAAGAAGTTTGCCTTGCAGACACAAGTTGTTGGGGGACATGCTGGATGTGTTTCGTCTCACGGAGGGCGCCTTCCCAAAACACGGCCAGATTGTCTTTCTCGTGCCTCTAAGAACAAACGCCCGCCGGCCGACAGCGCGGCTGGCGGGGGCGAAGCCCTACGATAACAGTGCAAGTTGAAAGACGCCAACACCGCCTTGTTAGACTGGGTGTGACTTGTGATGCGTCAGCGCGGCACTTGTGATGCGTCAGCAACGGGCTGTTGTCTATCTGTAGGCTCAAGGCCTTGATGCGCAAAGGAGCAGTGCCATGTACAGGATGGATGGTATTTAACGCCTCCGGCTCAGGCCGCCGACATTACAGGCCTGCTTTCTTATTTGCGTCCCTTTGGTGTCCCCTTGCCCCCTTCCCCTCTGAGATTGTTGCCCCCCTTTCTTTGTTGAGACCCATTCCCCCTTTCCGCCCTGAGGCCTTTTCTCCCTCTGTTTTTTCCCTTTAAGATGTTTTCCCCCCTCTCCCTGTTGAGATCCTTTCCCCCCTTTCCTCCCTAAGGCCTTTTCCCCCCTGAGATCTTCTCCCTTTTCCTCCCTTTCCCCCACTTTCCCCCCTACGACCTTTTCCTCCCTGGGATCTTTTCCCTTTCCTCCCTGAGATCTTTCCCCCCCTTTCCCTGTTGAGATCCTTTCCCTCCTTTCCTTCCTAAGGCCTTTCCCCCCGCTGAGATCTTCTGCCTATTCCTCCTTAAGATCCTTTGCCCCTTGTCCCTGTTGAGATCCTTTCCCCCCTTCCCTTTAAGGCCTTTCCAGATCTTGTCCCTTTTCCTTCCTAAGATTGTTTCCCCCCTTTCCCTGTTGAGATCCTTCCCACCCTTTCCCCCCTCAGGCCTTTCGCCCCCTGAGAGCTTCTCCTTTTGCCTTCCTTAGATCTTTCCCCCCTTTCCCTGTTGGCTTTTTGTTCCCCCAGATCTTCTCCCTTTCCTCCCTAAGATCTTTCCCCCCCTTTCCCTGCTCAGATCCTTCGGGTTCGGGTTCGGGTTCGGGTTCGGGTTCGGGTGGGTTTTTTTTGGGGATCGGGTTCGGTTTCGGGTTCGGGTTCGGCGTTCGTGGGGGTTCGGGTTCGGGTTTGGGTTCGGGTTCGGGTTCGGGTTCGGGCTCCGGCTCGGGTTCGGGCATTGTTTTTTTAGGGGAGGGGTGGGGTTCGGGTTCGGGTTCAAGTTCGGGTTCGGGTTCGGGCCCCTTTTTTTTGTGGGGGGGGGGGGGGTTTCCCCCCTTTCCCCCCTAAGGGCGCTTTCTCCCTCTGAGTTTTTCCCTTTTCCTCCCTACGAGTTTTCCCCCCTCTCCCTGTTGAGACCCTTTCCCTCCTTTCCCCCCGAAGGCCTTTTTTCCCCCCGCGATCTTCCCCCTTTTCCTTCCTAAGATCTTTTCCACCCTTTCCTTGTTGAGATCCTTTCCCGCCCTTTCCCCCCTAAGGCGTTTCCCCCCCCCCCAAAGATCTTCTCCCTTTTCCTCCCTAAGATCCTTTGCCCCCTTTCCCTGTTGAGATCCTTTCCCCCCTTTCCCCCTTAAGGCGTTTCCCCCCCTGAGATCTTCTCCCTTGTCCTCCCCTTGGTTGAGATCCTTTCCCCCTTTGCCCCCAAGATCTTCGCCCTTTTCCTCCCTAGGATCTTCTCCCACCTTTCCTTGTTGAGCTCCTTTCCCCCTTTTCCCCCTAAGGCCTTTTCAGATCTTCTCCTTTTTCCTCCCTAAGATCCTTTGCCCCCTTTCCCTGTTGAGATCCTTTCCCCCTTTCCCCCCTAAAACCTTTTCCCTGCCTGGGATCTTTTCCCTTTCCTCACTGAGATCTTTCCCCCCCCTTTCCCTGTTGAGATCCTTTCCCTCCTTTCCTTCCTAAGGCCTTTCCCCCCGCTGAGTCTCCCTATTCCTCCTTAAGATCCTTTGCCCCTTGTCCCTGTTGAGATCCTTTCCCCCTTCCCTTTAAGGCCTTTCCAGATCTTGTCCCTTTTCCTTCCTAAGATTGTTTCCCCCCTTTCCCTGTTGAGATCCTTCCCACCCTTTCCCGCCTAAGGCCTTTCCCCCCCTGAGAGCTTCTCCCTTTTCCTTCCTTAGATCTTTCCCCCCTTTCCGTCTTGGCCTTTTTTCTGCCAGATCTTCGCCCTTTCCTCCCTAAGATCTTTTCCACCCCTTTCCCTGTTGAG